TGCTGTAGGTCAGTGCTTAAAATCTGTTACCAGGGCCAGTCTGGGCAGATTTAAATAGATGTGTGTGTTTTTTTTAATGTCCTCTACTTTGTGTACCTCAGCCTGCTAATGTTGCAGCGCTGCTCTCCATCATGACAGCCACAGTGCAGGCGTCTCACTTGCATATGCAACTGAAAATCACAGTGCATGAATGTAAAGAATTATTCAGGTGCACCGGTTCAGGCTCTGAGGGTAACTAATGTGTTTTCTCCGACTTGTTCAAGTTCATTCATTTAATAGTTTTGAAGCATTATCTGCAGCACTTGGACCAAGTTGCTTTGAGAAATAGGCTGTGCCAAATTCACTTTAGGCTTGCAAATGAATGCAGATAAATATTTAAATGGCTGTAAAAGCACCGCGATTACTTTCAGGACGGAATAAGTTCTACCTTATCTCGTTTTCAAGTTGCAGCTTGAATTGGACTAGACTTGCTATCGGCACATAACGAACATTAAAACGTCCACGTTGGGATTTAAGCCAAAAAAAAAAGTCTATTCTCTGAGTGGGAGGCTGTTTGTAGTATCCTGAATTTGTTGTTGTTGATTATTATTATACACTGCCAGTAAAATGTCAGAACTTAAGCATCAAAACAGCCTCCGAAACTTTTCATTTTAAGTCAACTTGCCGGTCGCAAAGTTGGAAAATGTACGACTTTGACAAAGTACACGAGGAACAACCGAACGCATCATCGAGTTCGGTTTTGTTCGGGCTTCACATCTCATTTAAGCAGGTACAGCACAGCCTCAGGAGCTGTGCAGAACACATCTTTGGAGTGCCTCAGTCTTATGAAGTTCACGCTTGTCAGTTGGGATGCTGCTAACGCCGGCCTTCCTCTCACTCACTCACACTTACACTTACTGCTCGGATTCACTCAGAACTCACTCTCTCTTCCTCAGGCGGGCCGCCCCCTCAGCTGAATTCTCAGTGGACCGGACCCGACACCTCATGTCCTTCCTGACTATGTTGGGGCCCAGCCCAGATTGGAATGTGGGTCTGTCTGCTGAGGACTTGTGCACCAAGGAGTGCGGTTGGGCCCAGAAGGTGGTCCAGGACCTGATTCCCTGGGATGCAGGGACAGATAGCGGAGTTACATACGAGGTCAGTACAAACATCACATTAACTACAAAATAAAAACCCTCCAAACATGCTCCAAAAAAACCTAATCACTATTTAAAGTAAACACTTTGGGAAAATGAGATCTCTTGCAACAAAAACAGCATTTGTCCCTCATGTAGCGACTCAACTCAGGTTACAACCCCACACTCCCACAGCAATCACAGCCTTTTGCAAACCGCTACTCTCCCCACCTTTTACCCCCTGGATAACCTTCCTCCTCGCTCTCATCACCAGCCGAGACTTCCCTTCACACTCACATTTTGACCTTGTCATTATACCAACCTCCTCCTCCTCTTCATCTGCCTCTCTGCCCACAATCACAATCACTCCCTCTCTCTCACCTCTTCACATGCTGCCAGGCTCCAACAATTCAAGTGTCATCACCCATCCAATTCTCCTTTAACAGCCTTGAACAACGTCCCTCCTCCTCCTCCCCTCCCCGGCCGGCTCTCTGAGGCGCTGTCTGCTGCGTGCTCGCTGTCTCCAGTCGGCAACGAACAGATTAGGCTGTATGTTTGAGCAAATTCTGCGCCTACATGTGTGAAACCTTTGGCTGATCCCTCGCAGCTCACAGATGAACCCGCTGAACTGTACTCTCTTGTTTGTTTTGGCCGGCCTCTTGCATATATATTCACTTGTTCTCCTTTCCTTCTCCTCTCTCTCTCACACTCACTCACACTTGTTTGTACATCAAGCTCGTCCTTGCTTACGGACTCTTTGCGGCTTGTAAATTTGAAAAAAACATTTTTTAAACTGGAAGTGGAAGGATTTCAATTCTATACAACAGCGGTTTCCAAACTGTCCTGAGCGTCAGCCCTTGCATGAGGCACATCCTGTTAATTCTTGAATACACTTTCTTGGGAATGTGCACACAGACAGCTGTGGACAGTATGAACATCTAGTTACTGTTTATGTACTGCTCCATTCCATACATGTGCGGTGGATTGACATTTATGTATTCTGCACATGCACACGACTGCGTTGCGTGCACACCGCTGCTATTTTAGTGGCCGTGCAGACCCAAATGTTGGGCTGCATGTGGACAACCAGATGTCTGCAAGTGAGATTTGTCTGAATGCAGTAATGTGAATCCCAGGCATCAACTCTGATGTACAATTTGTCCAAATACGTTATTTTTCAAACAAAACGAAGAGATCCTCGGTGAGTTCTACACATTTAAAATCCCAAAGGTGTGCTGCAGTTGTTAAATGATAGATATTTAACTTTCTCAAACTGTGCTATTATTTTAGCAGACAGATCACAGAGCTTTAAAAAAAAAAAAAACAGACCAATTACACAAATCAGAGAGAAACCTATGCACTGTGCAACCACCAGCTGTAGAAGTGTGACTGTTCTAAAGTAGGCTGGGACATTGGCAGGCCGTTACAAAGTTGTTAATGGCACAGGCCAGTCACAGAGTAATGAGAGCCGTCCTGTGTGGCATTGCTTTTAATGCATCTTTTAATTAGTAGCCACTCATTACCCTTCTCAGTATTTCTCTCTTCCTCACAAAACAAACAGTTCTCTGTTTTTTTTTCTTTTTTCTGGGTGGCCACGGTGGGGGGGTTAGGGGTGGGAGGGTGTAACGGATGAGCCGGTCGTCTGCCTCCAGACTGCCTCTGGCGGTGGTGCTTCTATCAACCCCATGCTGGCAGACCTTTACTGTTGACTAATAAGAGCATCTCCCATATAAACTACAGAGCTCTTTCACAGCTGCTCTCTGACTTTGAAACGTGTCCTTTGTATGACTTGTTCTTTGTGTAACTTTGACTGACTTTGTGCTCATTGTACTTGTGCAAATGTATTTTTCAAAGCAATCCTGACACTGTGTGTTATTTTTGAAGTCCCAAAGATCCTCTGCTTTGTGTCCCATGTATGTTTTTTTTTTTTCTTTTCTTCTGTGGTTCTTTTAGTCTCCCAACAAGCCTTCCACGCCGCAGGACAAGATCCGTCCCCTGACCAGTCTGGATCATCCACAAAGTCCCTTTTATGATCCTGAAGGAGGCGCTATCACTCCTGTGGCCAGAGTGGTGGTGGAGCGCATAGCCAGAAAGGTCTGTCTGCCAGCTCTTGGTGTAAATACAACTAGTTGGTAGGTTTGGTATGATAGGAATAATAATACAGGCATTGCAACAGCACATTTTACATTTATATGACATCGTCCAGTGTTTGCAGCCGGTGACCCTCGTATATATTCTGACAGGTGCAACTTGTGTTGTTCAGTTTTCTGTGACACTTGAAATTTAGTTCAGATGCCTCCCACTTCTCTTTGATCCTTTCTGAAAAATGCTTCCACGCCGTAAATTTAACTGACTAAAGATGATTTGGAAAGGCGCACACCTGTCTATAAAAGGTGTCACAGCCGAGAGTGAATATTGGAGCAAAAAATCAATCCATGAGATTGAAGGAACTGCCAGCAGAGTTCAGAGACAGGATTGCATCAAAGCACAGGTCTGTGGAAGGCTGTAAAAAAAAAAAAAAAAAAATTCTGCTGCATCGAAGGTTCTCAAGATTATAGTGACCTCCATATTTTAAAATGGAAGACGTTTGGAACAGCTAGAACTCTTCCAAGAGCTTTACGGTAGACTGACCAGCCTTTCCTCAGTCAAAGACGTATGGGTGGCTGCTTGAAGTTTGCAAAAACAAAACACCTGAAGGACTTTCAGACTGTGAGGAACAAGTTTGTCTGGTCCAGGTTTAAACATTTTGGCCTAATTTCGAAACCTTGCACATGCCCGATACCATCCCCATGGTGAAGCATGGAGGTGGCAGCATCAGGAAGACAGGTAGACTGCTCAGGGTTGAAGGAAGCCCGAACAGAGCAAATCCTCAATGAAAATCTGCTCCAGAACAATCCTGACCAATTTACTGACTGACTGGACTTAAACCCAATGGAGCATCTTTGGGGGGGATGTGAAAAGGGCTGTCCATTGTCAGTCCATATCCAACTTCACGGAGCTTGAGGGGATCTGCACAAAAAAATGGCAGAGAATCTCCAAATCCAGGTGTCTCCCATAAAGAATCGAGGCTGTATCTGCTGTCTAAAGTGCTTCATCTAAGTGCAAAAGGCTCTGAATAATTACATCAGTGTGACATTTTAGGTTTTCACGTTTACATTATGGGGTATGGATCGATAAGGGGTGAAAAACAGAAACAAATGTGAAGAAAGTGCGGCGGCCGAAAAAAGCTAAAGACAATCCGTACTTTTGCCTCAATGCTAAGCTTTGATTGTACGCCTTAAGTAACAATAAGATCAGTGTCACTCAGTGCATAATAGGCTTTTGGAGGACACTGTATTTTAATAATAGTAAATTACATGATAGGTTAAATCAGCTGCAAGGCAAGTATTGAAAAAAAGCAAATTGAAGCGTTCATGGCAGGTATTTAAATCCATCCTCTGTAACATATAAACCCTTCTCTGCTTATAATTTGATGGTAGCTGCAAACCAGAGAGGGATGAAAGGTTAGCAGTCCGTCAGTGGCATCTAGAGGCAGCTGTGGGGATTTTGAAAGATCTTTTTTTTTTTCTTTTTCTGTGCATGATTCTGTGATTAACTTCATTTAGTTGCAGAATTCATTCTTATATTACACAGACACACAAAAGTACAATTTCATTCGGTGTGTTTTGTGCTGACTATTTAAAGCCCAGTCTGACCTTGTATTCACTTGCATGCTTCCACAGGGTTTAGAAATAGCAAACAGAGGAGGAGAGTGCTTGCAGAGAGGTGGATTACTGTAGCAATATCTCTGCATGTGTGTGTGTCCACAGGGCGAGCAGTGCAACATCGTGCCGGACAATGTTGATGACATCGTAGCAGATATTGCCCAGGAGGAGAAAGAGGAAGGTCTGGCTCCTGTTCCCATTTCTTTCACTCGCTCTCCCTCTCTCCCACTCAGACACATCCAAGATTAAAAGCATACTTAACAGTGGGAGGCTATTACAGCACGCCTGTTCCCTTTTTCCATCCCACAGACGATACTCCCGAGACGTGCATCTACTCCAACTGGTCTCCGTGGTCAGTCTGCAGCTCGGCCACTTGTGAGAAGGGCAAGAGGATGAGGCAGAGGATGCTGAAGGCCCAGCTGGACCTCAGCGTCCCCTGCCCACACACCCAGGATTTTGAGCCATGCATGGGGCCCGGATGCAGCGATGAGGGTGGGTGTCTATCCTAAGACTGAAGGTCGCCGTGCTGGCTAGAACTAAAGACGTGTTGTTGATTTAATTAGAGGATTTAAGCATCCACGAAGCACCTTGATGAAGATTTTTTTAATTCTCTGTGATAATCACTGCAACTATTAATCTTTGAAGGTCTAAAAAGTATGTTTTGAAAACTCATCTTCGCCAGTGCTGGTCCCTGAGTAATACCCGAGGTACCGTTCTGCAGCAGCAATTAAGCGAGAGGCGAAGGAGAGCACCTTGTTTATACGGCGAGCTTTTACATTTAATAGCAAGTTAAACTGCGAGATGCCATTAAGTATGTTTTGTTGGATATAAAGAGCAGTTCACGCTGGAGATGATGTCTGCAGGTTGTCTTTTTAATAAGGTCTATTCTCGTTGTACTCTTCGGCGTCTCCTCTCTCGTTTTATGCTTTTGTCAGTCTGTCACTCGGTGTTTAACAGCTTCGTCTAACACCTAATGAAACCTAACGACTTAGATGAGCACAAACACCGCCGCAAAGTCAGAGCTGCCTTTGACCGAGCATGGATGACTTAATGGATCATGTTACGAAGATGATTAAATAATGTAATGAAGATTCCAGACGTGGATCACCGTTATAGGGCATTCCTTGAAAATACCTGGAAAATAGGGTGTTATAGGGATATTTCAAGATATTTTTTACTTTTGTGAGTTTAAAAAAATAAATGTTAGATTAATAAAGTTACCAAATATGGTAACTTGCCCGTCTATGGTTTAAAAAAAAGGGGATTTATAATAAATAAAAGAAAAAGTAAAGTAGTTTGAGGTAATGATGCGTACACAACCAGTAACAAAGTGTTTATAAAGTGCCTGGAATATTTGTTTAGTGACTTTTTTTGTAAGGTAGTGATATTGGCACGGATATAAAAGCTAAATCAAAGTGCACGTGGTTCTTCAACCTCAAGGAGAGCCACAGGGCGGACATATTGAACGTCAAAGGAAGTTACCAAATATGGTCACTGGCCCCATAAAGGGTTAGAATAAAAGAAGAAAAATACTTTATTTATCCCAGGCCTGGGAAATTATTGAAATTACTAAAACTAAGTGACACAGTAATGTACTGGGGTAAAGGATTAAAATACTGTGATAGAGAGAATTAAATAAACTTTTAAATTGGCCGTCGATTCACACAGAGTCAGACAATGATTATGTTCGTTCCTTTGCCTAACCCTACTTCCCATTTACTTTGAAATAAACATGCTGTGAAAGTAACTCCCCGTCCTCCTGCCGGTGCCAACAGCACATGCGGAGTTGTCTTCAGCGTGGCCTGGCTGACTGCCCGCACACATCAGTGCCAAAATACCATCTTGGTACAACCGTGGACGTCTGTGTCTAAAATACAAACTCCTGGGAATGAAAACTGAAAGACGCATATTAAAATGAGTCAAAACTTCATTACAAATGCAGCGGGTTTGAGCACAGGGCTGACTAAAAACATAACATGTCCCACTTTCAGAATTGTGAGAATAAAAGAAGTGAATTTATTTGTCAGATCTGTTCTCGTGATAGAGCCACCTGAGTTTTTAAACCTTCTCTTGGCTGCTAGCAGCAGAGTAGCAGGGAACAGAGAGAAGAGAGGGACAACAGTTCTTAATCATAATCTGATCTGTCACAGCAGTGTGTTATCTGGAACAGAGGATATCCTGTCCACGTGTGAGGAGATGTTTGTTTCTGTTTATGTCGAGAGCAGTTTGTACAACATCAAAAATGAGTTTGGCTGAAA